GGAACCACCGATGGAGAGAGTTTACTTTTCTTTTTTTAAAAAATATATTGTTATTGATTTTAGAGAAGAAGGGAGAGGGAGAGAGAGCTAGAAACAGCAATGAGAGAGAATAATTGAGCAGCTGCCTCCTGCACGCCCCCCTACGGGCAAGTGCCCTTGACCAGAATTGAACCCAGGAGCCACCAGTCCGCAGGCCAATGCTCTATCCACTGAGCCAAATCGGCCAGGGCAAGGGTACAAACTTTCAATTGTAAGGTAAGGTCTGAAGATGTAATGTAAAATATGATAACAATGGTTGATAACACTGTATATAATAAATTAAAACTACAATGAGATATCACCTCATACCTGTTACAATGGCTATTACATCAAAAGAGAAGAGATAACGAGTGTTGGTGTGTGGAGAAGAGGGAACCCTTGTATGCTGTTGGTGAAAATGTAAATTGGTGCAATCACTATGGAGGTTCCTCAAAAAATTAAAAATAGAACTATCATATAATCCAGCAATCCCACTTCTGAGTATATATCCAAAGGAGGTGAAATCAAGATTTCAAGTTGTTCTCTGCAGGTACACAGCAGCATTATTTACAATAGCCAAGATATGGAAATAACTTAAGTATACAAACTATCATAACACAGCAGCATTATGATACACATACACACACACACACACACATACACACACACACACACACACACACACACACATATATATATTATTCAGCTATAAGAAAGAAGGAAATCTTGCCCAGTCAGGAGGGGCTCAGTGGTTGGGTGTCAACCCAGGAACCAGGAGGTCACTGATTCGATTCCTGGTTGGGGCATATGCCCGGGTGTGGGCTTGATCCCCAGTGGGAGGGCATATAGAAGGCAGCCTATCAATGATTCTCTCTCATCATTGATTTTCTATCTCTCTCTCTCTCCCTTCCTCTCTGAAATTGAGAGAGAGAGAGAGAGAGAGAGAGAGAGACAGAGACAGAGAGAGAGAGAGACCCTACCATTTGCAACAACATGGATGGACCTTGACAGCATTATGTTAAATGAAATTACCCAGAGACAGGAAAATACTCTGTTCTCATTTACATGTAGAATTTTTAAAAAGTCATAAAAACAGAAAATAGAAAAGTAGCTGCCAGGGGCTAAGGGGGTGAAGAGACTAGAAAGAGGTTGGTAAAAGGGCACAAATTTTTTCTTTTGTTTTTGTTGTTGTTGTTATTGTTAATCCGTGTCACCTAAGGATATTTTTCCCATTGATTTATTTTGAGAGAATAGAAAGGAGGCAGAGAGAAAGAGAGGCAGGGAGGGAGGGTTTGTGAATCCTCACCTGAGGATCTTTTTCCATTGATTTTTTAGAGAGCATGGAAGGGAGGGGGAGAGAAACATCGATGTGAGAGAGACACATTGATGGGTTGCCTGCTGCAACTGATACATGCCCTTGACCAGGAATCGAACCCATGACCCTTCAGTCCAAGGTTTGACACTCTTATCACTGAGCCAAATCGGCCAGGGCAAGGGTACAAACTTTCAATTGTAAGGTAAGGTCTGAAGATGTAATGTAAAATATGATAACAATGGTTGATAACACTGTATATAATTGAAATTTGCTAAGAGTGGAACTTAAATGTTCACACATATACTAAGGAAAAAAATGTGAGGTAATAGCCCTAGCTGGTTTGGCTGTCAGCCCCTGGCCTGAAGGGTGGAGGGTTAATTCTGATCAAGGGCACAAGTACCTTGGTTGCAGGCTCAATCCTCAGCCCTGGTCAGGGCCCGTGTGGGAGGCAACCAATCAATGTGTCTCTCTCACATTGATGTTTCTTTCTCTCTGTCTCTCCCCCTCCCTTTTACCCCCTCTAAAAATTAATGGGAAAAATATCCTCAGATGAAGATGTAATAAAAAAGTGAAGTTCAAAAGGGGATTCAAATACAGAGTTAAGAAAATAGTAATAAAAAGATGGAAGGTGGCTAGAAAGGGAAGATATTTCCAGAACGTCTATGATTGCAAATGAAATTTCCATTACTCTGGGTAGTTCAAAGTAATAACTTGTCTAAGATCCTAAATTTTATCCTTTTACTCTTTCAGCATTTTCTCTTATAGAATAATTCAAAAAAACAAAAATCATATTATTTGAGCATATTCCTAATTGTTTTCACAGTAATCAAACTAAAGAAGATTTATTTCCTTTCCCCACTAACTTCATTACAATAATATTTTATTATGAATCTAGGTATTTAATTCTGACAACAAATATTTAAGAAAGATTTCAATATTATAACTGAAAATGTATAGAAACTAAACTACAAATTTAAAGTACAAATCCATTATTACATGACACTATATGATTTTGATTATACTTTAGGATGGATATATATATGCCTAAGGGACCATCTGACCAGTAGCTATGATGCACACCGACCACCAGGGGCAGACACTCAATGCACAGGCATAGAAACATGGAACAGATTGATGAATTTAGTGGTAAGGGGGAGAGGGGAGGGCAGGAAGAGATTAACCAAATATCTTATATGCATACTAGAGGCCCAGTGCACCTGTGGGGTCCCTCAGCCTGGCCTGCGGGATCTGGCCAAAACTAGCAGTCCGACATCCCCTGAGGGGTCCTGGATTGCCAGAGGGTGCAGGCCAGGCCAAGGGACCCCCGGTGCATGAATCTGTGTACCAGGCCTTTAGTATTCTAATAAACATATGTGATTTCATTGCTACTTTTAAAAATTTTACTAAGTAAATATTATATTTGCTCCTGACACTTGTTATAAAATTTGTGTTCTTTAAAGTGATTTTTTTAAAAGTAAAGTTTTAAAGTTTCTTTTAAAATTTTATGTCCAACATTGCTCATATGATACTTTGAAATTTATTCAGTTGCCCAAAAGCCTGTAGTCTCCTTCGTCAAAAGGTCTTCTAAGAATTAGCAAGTTTTAAGAATTTAGAATTTTGGCTTACTCAAAATCTTAAAAAAAAAAATTTTGTAAAAAAAGTTTACGTTTACGTTTCACATTTTTTTCAGCCTTTGAGAAAGATGGCTTGTAACAAAGACAATTTTGAGGATAAAAAGAGGAAACTATTTAGTATATACTAAGGATATCAGATGAAAATATTTTAGGAATTTGGGGAAAAGTGAAAAATACACTTTAGATAAGCTAGAGAAAGTATGTTGAAAAATTTATGGAAAAATGCTTCGGCGCCTAAAACTCACATTTAACAAGGGTCTCAAGGTAGGAGAATAAAGTTTTCTGTATTCTCTTATAAAACTGTGGTGCTTTGTATTTACAAATCTTTGCTATAATTACATAGACTTTGAGGGGATTTCTATGATCTAGTATACTCATAAGGAAATCCAATAGAATAGTGGGGTTCTTTGGAAGAACAGGCTGATACTCAGAGCCTCAGTTTCAATTTCTAATCTACACTGTACCATTCACACGTTATTTCAATATGCAAACAAACTGGAAAGTTCCTACTTCTTTAGAA